GTGTGACTGTGGGAAGTGGGGGTGGGGGGTAGATGAACAAATAAAAGGGTGAAGTCAAAACACCAGCCAGGCCGTAGCTCTTCTCATTTATTTGTTGTACAAATATATCTGGGAGACAGAGACAGAGTTGTCGGATGCTTAGCTCACTGACCTGTAGCCACAGCACACTTGCAAAACAAAATCATGCCAGAGACAAACAGGAGATAGGCCATATTTCTTGGTCCCTGTGACAGAAGGGTGAGGTGAGGTGCTGGGATGGGGGTCTCCTCCTGCCAGCTTGTCTGGGTAGGTGCCCTGTGCTCCCTATCGGAGCTGCAGATATAGGCCAAGGCAGGACCTTGCTGTGAGGTCAGAAGGGAAGCACAGTGATCGATAGAAGCGGTCTCCCTGAGCAAACACTTCAGTGGTAGATATGTGCTGTGGTTAGCTTAATGGTCTTTGCATTAAGCAGTTAGACATAACTCATCAATGTCCACCAACAAACTAGGGAAAGGGCAGCAATGATTAATGGTCTATATGTTTAAATGTATCCCGACATCCTGAGCACACTGAAAAGTCAGAAACTCATTTTTCCCAAACCCAAAATTAAATTGGAGACACTACAGTTACCGAAAGATCTGGGCGGGTGGGGAGTGCCAAACATAGAAAATGATGTTCTCTCAATGCAAGCGAGGATCCATGAACATTCTGGGCTGCCACGGCTAAATATTGAGGAAGTATTATGTAAACCATCCTCACCTGTTAGCTTTCTAGGGAAACGCCTAAATGACTTACCTCACGTAACAAAGCACAACCCACTGATATATAATGCTATGTGGACGTGGGGAAAACTGAGAAAACTTTTTAACAGTAGTCATCCGTTTAATATTTTGTCAATGCTTATAAATATTCCAAACCTTCTGCCACAAAACGGTGTCGAGCTTTGTGGGATGGCATAAAGTAGGTGTAAAGAGGTTTTATGACCTCTTTAAACATGGTGAGTTTAAATCATTTGAATCCCTGAAGTCCCAGTATTCTGTGTCAAAGGCTGAGTTTTATAAATATTTGCAATTGAGACAATATGTGTTAAAAAATGCTAAATCATTACAAATCTCAACAGCCCCTTCTCGGTTGGAGAAGTTTTTCTGGATAAAAGGGAGCATAAACATTCTGTATCAAAGTTTGATTCAGAGATTTATGCCCTAATTGTGGATAAATTGGCATGGTTGAGAAAATCTTGGGGGACGTTGCTTAAATGTGAAATAGATATACAGGCATGGGACAAAATCCTGCTCCTTCCATCTAAAATCTCTGTTTGTAACTGATTTAAAGAACTGCAGCACAAAATTTTGCACAATGTGTATATTGTATATTTATAGTAAGTTTAATATGGGAACATCTCCGAATTGTCTCCAGTGTAAGGCCGGAGTGGGCACTCGATTCCACTGCTTGTGGGAATGTGCTATTATTCAGTCACTTTGGAAAGAGGTCTGCGCCAATGTTAGTACAGCCATTGGTCATCAGGTGACAGAAAACCCATTAATGTGTTTATTGGGATATATCCCTGTCTCACTGGTACAACATGAGCATGTGATTCAGTCACTCTTAATGTTGGCCAGGAACAGCATTATGTTGGGAGGGGGCTGAGCCTCCCTCCATGTCTCTATGGAAGTCGCTCATCATTGATGTTATGACTCTGATCAGGCCGGGACATTATATTGATGGGAGCTCCTGAATTTTTGTGGACAAATGGAAGAAACCACTGGAAACACTGGGAGCAACCTGTAAACTGGATTCTAATGGACAACAATTATGGACATAAATTATCACAAGTTCTCTGTGGACTCTGGACAATGTGTAATATTCTAGTGCTGTGCAGTGTTACTGTCTTGGATGTGAAGCAGTCTTGTATTTGTTGTATTTGTTTAAATAAAAGTTAAAAAAAAAAGAAGAAAAAAAAGAGAAACTCATTTTTTCTTTTTTCATTGTACCGATAAAGGGAAAACAAAAAGTGGACCCTTAGTGTGTATGTTACCATGACACTTATAAAATATCCATTTATTCTGATGCCAGGTGAAGGCCAGCCACAGACACAACGTGCTGCTGCAGTGTGCCTCACAGAGGAAAACTAAACATTACAAAAACATTTTAAACGTATAAAATTCAATATGTGAAATCAGATTTATGATGCAGTTGTTCTTGTTCCCATGCTACCACTAGGGGGTGCCAAATTTAAAGGACTCCAAATCAATACACTGCCTTTGAAATCTCATCAAGCTGTGTTTTATTGTCATCAGGTTTCATGTCCTGGGTCGGTGACCCAGCGCTTTGTGTTTACTGTTATTATGTTCTAGTTTATTCTGTTTTGTATTTGTTCGTAGGGTTTGAGTCGTGTGTTTACTGCTCGATCATCCCTACCTGTGTCTTTCCTCTGTGTTCTGTCCTCGAGTTGGTATTGTAAAACAGTCTGTGAGTTTCCCGTCCTAGGTTTGTCTCTTATGCCCATTAGTTCCAGCTGCGTCCCCTCCTGTGTGCCATTTCCTGATTACCTGGTGTGTATTTATACGGTGTGTCTGCCTGAGCTCCTCGTTGCGTCGTTAACGTCAGTTCACCCTCATGCTGTGTGGATCTCCCTGAGTTTCCCGTCAGTTTATGTTGTTTCCCAGTTTAGTTTGTTTTCCCGTGCCAGCAAATAAAGCTGAGTATTTTGAGTTCATCCCTCGAGTCTGAGTCCTGCATTTTGGGTCCACCACAGAAAACCAGAGTTTTTGTTTTTGTCTGGATATCCTAAACTGCTGCAACACACATAGGCCAGGAGCACTGAAGGTGCAATCAAGCTCTTTAACTATGGTGTAGACACGAAAAGAAGTGGAGCAGTAGTATGTAAAAGTATGTGAACAGCACTGTGGAGAGAAACAGAGTGCCAGACAGGATTCTCCAATGCTGGAGAATGGAGAAGTGCACTGGTACTGAATTTCAAGAACAAGGGTGATGTGAGGAACAACTAGAAGGTCAGTAAGAATGTCACTGCATCCAAGAGAAGAACTGTGGTGCTGTAGGAGAAAGTGACAGAGAAGTACTGACAGTGGTGCATGAAATGCATTCGGACAGCAAGACAGTTGTGAGATGGGTTCAAGGTGGAGATGGGATTACATCAGGCAGCTCTGAGCCTTTTCTTGTTTGCAGTGCGGATAGACAGATGATAGACAGATGCTTAGGAGTTTTCCTAAGCAAGATGTTTGCACACATTACTGTGAGTGAGAGTGGGCAGGTGGAAGAGAGCCGGGATAGCTGAAGGTATACGCTGGAGAGAAGACGAATGAAAAACAGAATATATGTGTGTGAATGAGAAGGAGACAGGTGGAAACAAACATGTGCAGAGGAGGGTTAGAGGATAGACTGGACAAAGTATGGAGCCTCCAGGCAGAAGGAAACAAAGAAGAGCTCAGTGGAGGTCCATGAAGGTGGATGTTCAAAGGGTGGCAGAGGAGGATCCCAGGGATGAAACTGTAACTGTGTGTAACTGTATTGTTGCAGTTTTATTGTGGAACAGGTGTCTTATGTAAATGAGACCTTGAGTCTCAGTGGGCTGAAGGTAATGAAGGTTAGATAAATACATAAAATGGAAACAGATGATCTGCTGTGGCGGCAAATAAATCAAGAACCCAGAAGAAGTGTGATAAGCAGCAGACACTCAAATTTCATTTCACCAAATCTGAAGTAAAAAGTCCTTGTAGGTCATAACATAATATACTTTTACTCTGACAGTCCATTAGAAATGTTAGTAAAGGCACCAAAAGCAAAGCATGGCAGAAATGCTGCACCAGGGAAACTGTCCAAAGAGGTCAAAAGTGTCTTTCATCCCAGGCTGTAAATGCTGCAGTTTGTGGGACTTCATTTTTCCGCTCTGGATTTTGTCCTCTGGTAATACTGTCTTTATTACATCACTGGACCTGTTTTCTTGTAAACTGAAGAAACACAAAACAAACAGGCCCACCTCCTCAAGGACAGTCAGCGGTCTATGAAACTGTTCTGATATGAATGAATGTGAGAGTTTTGCAGCACAACTGCAGTCACCATTGTGTTCATCCGGTCTTTAAAAATCACACTGGGGGCCTAACAGTTGAGGACTCTCAGCTTTGTCCGTCTCACAGTGACCCTCAGCGCCCTGACGGATCTTCAGGAGCCACCCACGGCTTCCTGCATCAGCTAACAATAGGCAGTTGGACTTTTTCTTTGCGCTTACCAAGCGAAATGACTTGTCAGAGTCAATTATTATTAATGGCGATCTGTATCGTTTTGCTGAAACACCCTCTTATGTGCTGGCACCACTCTGTAGTATGTAATCAATCAGCAAGTGCAGATAAATATAGCAATCTGCCTCATGAAGTAGCAAACATGGTCTCAACAGCCAGTGTAACAATAAGCTGATAGACTTACTAAGCAATATCTATTTGCAGGCCTATAAGGAGTTAGCCTGTAGCATAATTAGGTTTAGGGTTTTTAGGCTTATACGATTAAACATAAACTCATTTTTAAAATCTCTTCTGATTACATGAAATGTGCAATACACTCACATAAAAACTAACAAAACTACAGTAACAATATCTTTTAGAGTAATCGTACAGAAATACGCTAAAACAGTAAAACAGCCTGTTTCGTTTTTCCCAGTTCTTATTATTATTAACGTTAAATTGTTTTAGGCCTACCAGAGTTGAAACATTTCTTTTTCTACTGTAATGCAACCATGTGGATCATTCAAATAATGAAAGAAGAAAACAAAGATCGAAAGAAAACACGCGTGTTTTATTCTCTAAACGTCGAAAGCTGAGCGCTTTTCTAATCTTCTCTGACAATTTATTCATTCACTTGCACGTTTAGTGCGTCTCCTCCATCGGCTCGGCTCTTCTGTCCAGGCATTTTTCTGTGGCTGCGGAGAGCATCTGTCACATGACTCGGCATCCACCAATAGCAGCGTGGCAGCCTAACTTTGGCGATAAGGGAATCGCAGTAAAGAGCGAGCGAAGGAAAGGAGTTTCACTCTGAGCTCGTGAATGGTCATCATCGTACTACACTTTCTATTGGCCCGTCTGGCTCCTAAAGCATCCCGATATAGACAGCACTCACCCGGGATTCTGTTGGCCTTTCTTTCTTTCTTTCTTTCTTTTTTATTTTGCTCTCCTCTGCAGCCCATGCAAGGCTGCTGCAACACCTACATCCAGGTTTTAATCATCAGACAATCATCACTGCCTGCCTGCTGTCTGCTGCTCAAATGTTGGGAGACAAGGCTCACGGTAAGTGCCTCCGTTTTCCTACATGGCCTTCTACACTCCAGCTTCTGTCACCTTCAGAGCTGTGACTTTTTATTTTAACCAAATGCTTGTCAAGAAACAAAAATCAGCGACATGCAGTCAGAAAAATATTAAAAGAAACACACAAGCTCCAAAGAGCCACAACGCGTCGTTTAATTATTAAGTTAATTCAGACTGTTTGAAAATAAGACGGCAGCATTTTTTCCTCAATGCAAATTTCAATTAACTGAAACAATCATCAGTCCAGGAAAACATCTGTCATTTTTTTTTACATTGTTTTAAAATCTTGAAATATTGCTGCTCTGTGAAAAATAAAGAAAAAAATATGATATTGGTTATGATCTAATAATAATACTACCCGTCAAACTGCGAGTCCTCCACACTTCACTGTTCAGCGGCCTTCATTTCGTTGTACCGCCGATTCACTTCAGTGTGTGCGGACAGTTTCTACAGAAACGTCAAAAACAAACAAACAAAAACGGCAAAAATAAAAAACTAAAAGTAAACAATCAGTCACCGCCGCGTGTGTCTGTGGGTTCATGAACGACGTCAGCTTAGAGACTGAACCACGAGACTCAGCAGCGGAGTCAGATCAGGTGAAAGCAACAAAACCACAACAACAAACTGCAGACACATTTCGTTGTTAAGAATAGTCTGTCAGTTATTTCATAATGCAATAGAGAGAGTCTCATTGATGCCGATAGTGGCTGTATGTAGATTCATTTTTATTTGACTTTTCTTAATTTAAAATAAAAAAATAAAAAACAGGTAGATATACGCATAACGTTTTTCTGCGGTATGCCTCCGTAGAGATGAGCTTCTCTAACAACACACAAAATTAAAGCTTAAATTTACTTAAATAACCTTTCGGGCAAAAGTCTTCACTTTGGATGAATACATCCGCTCTTGTGTTTTTCATCTAATTTGTTTTTATTTATTTTTTATTTTTATGTATTTAAAAAATATAATTTATTCATTTAAAATCTTACATAACCCAATAATTCCACTCCTACATAACATTTATTTAACTGTATGATGTAAACACATTTCAGAATTTACATCTAGAAATGCCTGTAAAATAATTAAATGATTTATTGCAACTTGTGTATTTAAACTTCTATTAGAAAAAAACACATTATCGTTATTTCATATCACATTCACATGAAAACAAACTGTCAAAGCTTGAGATGAAACTACAATAAATTGTAGGAAAATGATTAAGTGCCGAAAAGTAAAAAGTCATGTTTGTTGGAATAATGCACAATATTACGCGAATCTGTATTTTTTTTAATTCGTTTTTTATCATTAATAATTCTTTTAAAAAACACGGCAGAAATAATTATCAGAGTAGACTCACTGTGCGTGTGTGTGGCAGGTGTGACTTTAAAGGTGATGGAGTACACATACGACGAGGACCTGGAAGAGCTGTGTCCTGTGTGCGGAGACAAAGTGTCTGGATACCACTACGGCCTGCTCACCTGTGAGAGCTGCAAGGTACGCAAACGGTAGCCATGCGCGAGGACATGCGCGAGGACATGGTTTTTTTTATTTATTTGAAAATGACCGCTAACCACAAACCTGCTGCTAATTATTGCTTCTCCAGCTGTTAGAAATAACTGCTGAACTTGTCTGAATTTAATGTCCGTGAAACATAAATGCAGCGAAAAATGGACACTTGCGTTATCCCAATTTAGCTAACGTGTGGAGGCTTTAATGTTAATGAAATGTGCTTCGAAATAATTAAATCTAAATACAAAAACGGCAGTCGCTCTCGACCTTTTATTTTGAAATCTAAACCCAGTGGTTTGATACCAGTGTGTCGCTCGTTTTCAGGGCTTCTTCAAGAGGACAGTGCAGAACAACAAGAGGTACACGTGTGCGGAGAACCAGGAGTGTAAAATAGACAAGACCCAGAGGAAAAGATGTCCCTTCTGTCGGTTCCAGAAATGCCTCAGTGTTGGGATGCGGCTGGAAGGTAAACTACTATAATAATAATAATAATAATAATAATAATAATAATAATAATAATAATAATAATAATAATAATAATAAAATAATAATAATAATAATAATAATAATAATAATAATAATAATAATAATAATAATAATGAAACAGGGACATTTTGCCTGTGATTTGCCACCATTTATTTTAATATGATAAAATAAATATAATAAATAATATTAAAGTCTATCTGCGATGGTGCTGGCTATCATGCAGTGTTTCCTGCACACATGGGATGGGATTGATTCCCAGACAGCAATGCAAAGGAAAGCACCTGCTTCCGTAGCAGAAAAACGACACATTCTTGTCTTGCTGATAAAATTCTGGAGACTCCCCGGGGAAGAAGGAGTAAAGCTGCACAGACTCCTCGGGGATTCTTCTCAGCCCTAAAAAGGGAAGCAAAAAAAAAAAAAAAAAAGACTGACAAGGCTGTTAATTACTTTATAGGAATACTGTGAACAAGAGTTTAGTGCTCATAAAGCTCAGCACGTCTGCACAGTGTAAGAGGCAGTCGATGGTTTTTGGGTCTGTAAACCTGTTTTCTCCTTTTGTCTCATGTGTGACAGCGGTGCGTGCAGACCGCATGCGTGGGGGTAGGAATAAATTTGGCCCCATGTACAAGAGAGACAGGGCCTTGAAACAGCAGAAGAAAGCTTTGATACGATCCAACGGTTTCAAGTTGGAGAGCGCGGCTCCTCCGCCAGCCTCTCCTCTGCAGGCAGACTACGGCTTCACTGGCACCTTGCACACCCTTCCCACCATCTCTAAAAGCCTGCTCCCCTCCACCCCGAGCTCCATCACTCCCACAGACTACGAGGCTAATCTCTACGGACCCCCGTCTTTGGGTATGGCCATGCAGTCACACGTGCCCCTCACCACCCAGTACCAGTACACAGCCTTTCCCGGAAGGGCGATTAAAGCCGAGTGTCCCGACTACACCAGCTCCCCTGAGACTCTTACAGGATACCCTTACCCAGACATGTACCCCTCAGCCTCGCCGCAACCCCCCAGCCTGCCGCCACTGGTTCTGGAGCTGCTGCGCTGTGACCCGGACGAGCTGGTCGTCCAGAACAAGATTGTGACTCACCTGCAACAGGAGCAAAACGGCCGGGGTCGGCTGGAAAAGCCCAGCACCTTCAGCCTCATGTGTCGGATGGCAGACCAGACTCTGTTCTCCATAGTGGAGTGGGCTCGGAGCTGCATCTTCTTTAAGGAGCTGAGGGTGAGTAGCAAACTCTTTACCGTGTTGAGTGTTTGAAATGAACCGTACATGGTTTCACTTGCAAAACATGTGACAAAGACACAATACATGTACATACAGGCTCCATGCAGTATTTTAGTAAACCTGAGATCTACCAGAAAATGCTTCATAACCCAAAATTAGAATTTTCATGTGGCGCATTCACCCAAAAAGGATCTGTTTAGATTTGAGGGATGTTTTCTCAGACTCAGCCGCTTGAGTCCCACATTTGGTTTTCCAAGAATTCACAAATAAAAACTGAAATAAAAGATACGAAAGAAAACACATATTGATCCAGTGACAATCAAGCAGTAAAAGCCGAACATTTCTGAAGATCTTTTATGGTTATGTCTAAAATATGCAGAAGTGAAAAAATAACAGTTCATCACGCTCACAAAAGCTTTTTACAAGGACGGCTGAATCCATTCTTCCTTTGTTTCTGTTTGCTGTTTGTCAGAAAAAGGGAGCACGGTGCCGCGATGTTACCGTTTCTGAAAAGGATTAAGACGACGGCTTGTTTTAAGTCTGTATTAATAAGTTCACAGGCTTTCAGACCCAACAAACACATGAATGCAATTCAAATGTGATGAAGCTGGCGCCCACGGCTGACTCACAATCCACTCGCAGTCCATTCAGAAAGTGTTCACAGCACGACTGCTGCTGCTATCACGTTCTCATAGAGGCTCTCACTTGCTTGAATTCATGTGAATGCTATTTCTGATTTCACATTTCTCAAATGTCCCGTTAATTCTTACTGCAGAGGAGAATTTCTTTTTCATAACTCTTAAAATATGTTTTTTTCCTCTAAACGAACAGAAAGAAGTGCTCTATTAAACTTCAATAATTATGATGTATGACAGTAATGACAGATTAAAGCGAAAACAAGGGTCTTTCTAAGGTGTTGAGCAACCAGAACAGCTTTAATTCTTCAAATCTCTCTAAATCTGCTGAAGGGAGAAACACCATTCTGCCAAAAAAATCTTCTCTTATTTGGTCGAGTATGCTGGTGACACGTCATACAGGTGTTTGGTTGGGCTGAGATCTGGTGTGTGAAGGCCAGTGCATAAACCTGATGATTGTGGCCCGTAGATGGGGATAAGCAAACCTAAACCATGGCAGCAAAAGGCCTCACCAAGCATAACAGAGTCAACCTTTTCCTTTAATTTGTCACCAGTCCCCATTATTACATTATATGGTGTCCTGTTACAGTCAGTGCCTTCAATAAGTTTTTCTTGAAAAATCAGTGTTCCTGATATTGAACTGTTATTTCCAACAGTGCGCAGCTCTAAAAAGCTGCAGTTGGAGTAACTGGACTAGTTGGTCTGATGTCGTTTAGCTGTGTAACACAGCACTTTCAGCCTCTTATTTCCTCCTGGTAGGTGATAATATCACACACACCTCAGAGAATGATGATCAAACATCTGTCTGTGTGCCGACCCGTCTGTGTGCGCTGTAAGCTTTAGCAGCGCAGTCAGAACGAAGTCAGAACTCACTGCGCTGCTGCTGATGGCACTGCTGCACGCACACCTCGTATTCTGAGCGAAAATGGAGAATTATTATTCTTTCCTGACAAATCAGACAGGTAACACAACAGAGACGAAAATATCACCTTCTTCAATAAGTCATGATATGATGTGTCTGTGCTGACGAACAATCATCTGTCAACCAGCCATGGCCAAAGGGATTCTACCAATTAAACAGTTTAACTAGCAACAAAAGGTTGATGCTGTCCTTGGTGTGATTTGGTCCTTGGTGTCTTTTCATCAGATGCAGTTTATTTACTGAGGTACAGTCAGAGCAGTTCTGCTCCTTTCCTGCTTCACACGCAGTCACGTCTAGATATTTACTCCTGGGTCTTGGATGTGAGGAGCCAGTGGTTCATATTCTTGCATGTGAAAAGCATTGAGTGGTTTCCTTATGACTGGATTTACTGCTTGCAGCAAAAAGATCATGCATACAGCAATTTATGCAGTCAAGTCAAAAAGTAATCATGCAAAATTACCAAAAAAAGAAAACACAAGAAAAGCTACAATGATCGTCAGATAAACCTTTCTGTGAGTCCAACCTGCATGCAGGGAGATGGAATTTGAATTGTAACAGTTCTTCCCATTGAGCTCAGTTTTTCTTTCTCCAGTGACAAACACTAACCCCCACCCCTCTCTCCCCCACCCCTCTCTCCCCCATTGTCAGAAGCCGAACAGTTTTTTAAAATGTTAAATATAAGAATGTTTTTCCAAAATCCTTCATGGGTTTTGCTCTGGTCTACAGATCCGATGAATTTTAACATTTAATAAGACTAATAAGACGTAACATCTTATTAGTTTCAAACATTAAACACAGTATTAGGCCCTCTGATGTTTTTGTACGATTTTGTAAGCTCTTTGTGTGTGTGTGTGTGTGTGTGTGTGTGTGTGTGTGTGTGTGTGTGTGTGTGTGTGTTTGGAAAGCTTTATTGAGTAAGTGCAGCTCACAGCTTCCAGATTTTATAACATTTTATTCGAGCTCACTGTCCTGCTCAAATAGCAACTCAAAGTATGAACTGAATGGACTAAAAATGATTATTTGTTCCTGAGAACATCGATGCATGCTGATTAATTTATTTTATTGTTACTTATTTATTGTTATTTTATTGTTACTTTGTCTGTTTATTGTCGCAGAGACAAAGCTCCCATTGTGGGGATGATGGTTTTTTTGGTTGCATCTTCTCACACTAACACAACGAGGTATCTTTATACTGCGTCTGTGCCTGTGTGAGGGGATACTTGGCCAAACTGCTGCTCAGTCTCAGCAGCACAGGAGGAACACACAGCAGCTCATCATATTTTGTTATCAACAAATATCATCAGAATATACAGTAAATTTGAATATTTGATCATTTTAATCCAGCTGCAGACATTTAATTCTTTCTACTGATAATGTACAAAGTGTGTGTTGGTATACGGTCGACACAAGCACAGTACAAAGTTTTGGGATAAATGGGATAAATATCCTCTCAGTTTTAGTTAAAAAGACGTTCTAGCGTTTGGTCCTGACAGCTCCTCTAAGGAGGTCAGGACCTTGGCCTCCTCACCAGTAACATCAAATCATCTGCTTGGGATCATCTTTGACCAACATCTAAATATTGAATCTGACTAAGCTCGCTAAGCTCATCCAGTCTCGTTTCCTTCATCGAAGATATATCCCCCCAAAATCAAATCTTTACTGTCATTCAATCATCTGGAACTTTAACTGCTGCTCCTGCTTAGCCAGTTTCCTGTTGGTGCAGAATACAACAGCCACTCAGGACTCACATATCATACCTATTTGCGCTTTCCAGTTTGGCTGAATCTGTGGTTTGTTTTATACAACTGCTGAAAAGTCATTTTTAAAAATCTTTCCCTCTATATTGCATCTATTTGTAGGTATAGAAGTGTGTTGGAATTAAGTTGGACAATGGTTACAATGTGTCTGCATGTTGGAACATGCATACTTATACATTTGAGCTGAGGAGCACTTTTGACTCTGTGATACACAAATACATTTATATTAATTATAATTATTATTACTACTTCACTTTATGTGAAGCAACAGTAGAGCATTATGCTCGGCCTATGCCTTCAGTGATTGTCAGAAACCCACTGCACTCATGGTGTCACAGAGTCACAAAACCAAAATGTAAATTTTGTGGAAGAAACACAAAAAACAACACATTATGACAAAATATGCACACGCTGGAACATTCCACAACATGCCCATTCCCAGTTATTAATTTACAGCTAGAAACATAATAATGCTCATTTATTCTCACCAATTATCAGTGATATTTAAAATAATGTAAATGGAGAAGGTATTACTGGGGGGGGTACTACACCTCTGAAGATTAGCATGGGTTACACAAATACTTCATGTTAGTCTTCAAATAATGCAAACTAATTAAAAACTGAATATAAGATACAAAGGTGATTTTCTTTTTGCTAATATCAAATTATTTACTCGTACATATATATAACCCGGCAGCAGGAAATCAATGAGAGCTAACCTTAGCCTTCTGTAACCTTAGGCTTTGTTGTTTAATATAAAACATTTTAATCAGACTTAGAAATAGTTGTAATTACAGCATATAATTTGTAGCTTTCATTTAAAAGAGCACAAATTATATAATTAGTAGTAGTCATAGTACTAGTAGCAGGACTGCTAGTACATGCTGCACAATTATTTTTCCTGCTTGGACAAACAGACATAATCAATCACGACAGAACAATAAAAAACAATAATAAATAAGAGTGCTTCTTTTTTTAACCCATTGCTTGGTAGTTGGAAGGCAACGTGATGGTATTATAATATCTGATATATATAACATTCTTAGTAAGATATGTTGTAAATGCATTTTCAAGGAAGTATTGCTGCTATAGAGAAACCTAAATCTGACAAACAACAGATTTACTTTGGACTGGTTTGGTTCTCACGGACTTCATGAAATGTCTAATTCTAGATGTCAGACTAAACAACAGCTTTCAAAACATAATTATATCGCTTCAGATTTGAAATATGTTCTAATTTGCATTAATGTCTAATTCCCCATTCATAAACGTTTTGTCAGGCCATGAACCAAAATACGGAAAAAGATGAATAATGCTGGTTTTCCTCTTATATCCTTATTTTGAAGTGACAGCTTTTCTCACAAGTTTCATTACCCTGCCAGGAGTCTCCTTTTATACACATCCAATGTACTTGTGCTGACATTTACACCATTTTTATGCACAGTGGACAGCCAACATGGACAGTGAGAACAAAGCTGTGCATATTTTGCCAAGAAAGCCTCCCGCTGAAAGAGCCGTTTCCCTGGGCTGGATAATTACATTCCATGCAGACGATAACGGGGGAATGTCAGCTCTCCATCGCAGCTCTTCTCTGCGCTTGCCTACATTGTTACTAAATTATTTGCAGAATGAAAGCTATCGATTGCTGCAATTTCCCCAGAGGTGGCCTTTGTCTGTCATATGTTTGACCTTCTGCTCACCTGGTGATGATGGAAAACGTGGCTGAGATGCACACAATGAACACAAATGCTACTAAAGGCTGAAAATTTTACTTAAAATACACGTTATTCACGAAAATATGGACAGAAGGCAAAAACTGCATTTTGGAATGACTGCAGGGTCAAACTTATTAAAGATCACATCTAAATATTAAATCAAAAACTTTGGATTAGTTGAAGGTTGCTTTCTGGTCATGAATTATTGCTTGTTTTCTTTGCTCCCCAGAGTGTGTGATATATTAGTGAACGTGCACTCAGAGTGTTACCGCAGTACTCCAAGTGTTTCGCTAGTTACTAAACACAGGTGCACAGAAAGCAAACAACCCCCAGGTTTGTTTGAAAAACTGTCATATCACTTCTCTATCAAAGCTCAGAAGATAAATAACTGACTGATTGGCATGCAAGAAGCTCTGCTGCTATATTCCCATGCTTGCACTGGTGCTGCATGCACATTTCTGTTCCCAAGTTGCCACTTTGACCAGAACTGTCAAAACTAATATATTTTCTTAAAAGTCACTAACACCATATTTGTTAGCTGGCAGGGCCAAGTCCAGCCTCTGCAACTCAAAATGTAATAGCTGTCTTTGGAAGATCAAGGCTGGAAACAGACCTAGAAGGAGTGGTGAAGTACATTCATCATTCTCTACCTCGAGAATAAAGCTGTGTTCATATCAGATCATTCTGCCTTGCAGTACTTGGGCCAGTATAGTTGCTGGAACACTTTTGGAACCCTGAGCAATTAAAACAAGGGTTCAGCTGATAGCTGGAATCAAGTTAAAGTGTTTTGAGATATAATCAATAAGTCCTCTGATTTAGATTTTTTTGTAGCCCTGTTCTTTTGTTCTGTTGTCATTACAAAAAAGCAAACTTCAATCATATAGCTGTGGCTGTCCAATAAGAAGAAAGTAGCAAGAAGCCCAAATTATTACACCAAAGTGTTTCTGCTTAATATGAACAGTTTAACCAGACTTTATTTTATCAATGTGAAAACCAACTGATGACCAAATGAAGCCATCTGTGAGGTTACTGCTGACACAACAAAGCATAGAAATAGAATTAGGGGTTGTTTTTTCTACATTCAGAATCTAGAAAATGTTTGTTTCTAACTTTGCTTACAGCTTTTTTAACCAAATAGGTGATGATTTTTAAAAATTCCTGAACTGCCAACCCGCCCCATCGGTGACCTTTTCCACATGCAACACAGATATCGCTTGGGAAATATCATCACGGTTGGCTGCTCTGCAGAGGAATGGATACAGTATCAGTGTGCGGTTGCGATGTCAGTAAAGGCAGTAGACTATGACAGACAACATTTACAGTTTCCTGTCATTTCATAAAATATGGCCCTCACAGGTAATGTGACACTTATCACGTATATACCTGACATATCAGTTTCAACCCAGCAGAGACACAAACATTAAGAATCCATGTGGCAAATGAAAGAAATGCCTTCCTTCTTCACTCAGCCTGCTATTTCTGAGCTTTTTTTTGTGGGCCGCAGCTGAGTGTCCAACTTCTCTTGGAGAGGAAGCAAAGGAGGTCGCCGAGACCTCTTGCTTCCTTAACCCCTTCCTTTATCACTGCACGCCCAGACCCCCACCACTGCACCGGTGCAGATGAGTGTTGTGGCAAGATTGCAACCTCTGTGACTGATATATAGCTTCATTCAGATGGACTGTAATTCTGTCAGCTCCATGTCAGATGAATGGGGTCTGGGCCTATTAGCAGCTGCGACCGCAAAATTACTGACTGCTGTGTCCTTCACTTTACAGACAATATTGTGGCAGCAGGATTATGGGTGTGATACAGTCGGGTGGGGGGAAACACATATGCACCCATCCCCCAGAGCAGAGCAGAAAAGGGAAAGGTGGGGGTGCTGGGGAGAGGTGAGGAGGCTGGAGAGGTCCTAGGTGTTGCTGGGCCAGTATGAAAGGAGAGTACACACACACACACACACACACACACACACACAGATGTTTTGCTATTAAAAGCCTAATTTTTCCCCCCATATTCCTTTTATTTTTAAACTAATTGGTGACAGTGGTGTAAATATTTTTCGTCTTTCTGGTCAGAAACGAGCTCAATGTGAGAGCGAGTTTATCAAACAATATGAGATGTCTTTTGTTTTCCACTGAGTTCATCTTTGTTCTTTGTCTGCTTTTCTTGCGTCTGTCTGTCTGCGTTTCCTGAAGGTGGGAGATCAAATGAAGCTGCTTCATAACTGCTGGTCTGAACTGCTCGTCCTGGATCACATTTTCAGACAAGTGCAACACGCAAAGGAAGACAGCATTCTGCTGGTGACCGGCCAGGAGGTAACAACTCCCTCGCACAACTTCCCATCAGCACACCACCCAGTGTGCTCCACACATTGCACCCAATCCAGAGGAGTTTTGTTTTTACTGTTTTCGTATAAAAATATATATTCACTATGTTTAGCAGTATTCATTTATATTTCACTGGCTGTTGATATCTGTACTAACATATTCTGATCCTAACAGTAGTTCAAATTCTAATGCAAAATCTCCATGCTCTAAACTAAATATAGAGAGACATATGTGTCTCATCAAAAAAACATATAGTTTTTTTTATTTGCCAACAATTATTAGTGAAATAAACTTAACAGACATATAGAAAAAAAGGGAAACTCTGGAAAGGCCGTTTATCCAATAAATCTCTCAAAGTCCAGTTTAGTGTTAAAGTTAAGGCTATTTATGTTTCTTTGTCTTTATTTAATTCATCTTACATCAGTGTTTGCAAGCATATATAATTCTGGTGGTTAGACTGTCATCACTGTGAGGTGCAGGGACTCTGGAATTTCCCCGGGATCGATATTCTCTACAAAATGGGTGCAGTTAACCTCGGGGAACAAGTAAGCTTTAGTGTTTGGAAAGTCAAATACTTAACATGACACAAGGAAATAACCAGTAGCCCATGTTGCAGGTGGAGCTGTCATCCATCCTGTCTCAGGCTGAGGGGACACTCTCCAGTCTGGTCCAAAGAGGTCAGGAGCTGGCAGCGAGGCTGCGGGTGCTGCAGGTCGACCGCAGAGAGATCGCCTGTCTGAAATTCCTCCTCCTTTTCAACCCAAGTGAGTCATCTTGTTTGTGCATCATTGCTGCAATACAATGAGGGGATGCATTATGACGGCAAATAACTAGCATCCGGCACCGTTATCGTTGCTTCCATCCAACTTACTACGATGTTTTTACAAACTGCTGATAAGTTTCTCAGCTTAGAGGCTGAAGGAGGAGACACAATACAGACATTTCAGATAGAAAGTCTCTTCTTCTAAAAATGATTATTTAAGTACAGTAAGAGGGAACCTTTTGACCTTTTTTGCAAATAAAACTGTTTTGAAAAGTGTGGACTTATGTGTGTGGTCTGTAAATCACGCATTTTTCAAAGGCTAGCAGATGCAAAAATCAATCAACTTCATGGAGCTGCACAGCCATACTGGTGCTGTCTTTTCTCAGATTGTGAATAGCAACACTGACATCCTAATGAAAAAAATGTCACAATTGCAGATAATCTGCAGGAGCCTTTTTATCTATGAGGTTACAAGTGTTTTCCAAACTGGCCCTTTTCCCTCCAATAAATTCACTTAATTAAATTTCTAGGCTTGACAAAAGCTGATATTAACAAAGACATCCTCCTCCATTGTCCACTAATGGCATTCAAAAGAAGCGTAATGGATGGGTCTATCATTTGATAGCAGGGCCGGCATTCATGTAGCGGCTTGTGCAGATGGAGAGAGCATAAATGTGGCTCGAACAGATTCCCTGAAGTGTTTGCTGTTTAGCGCTGGCAAAGCAGGGAACAAAGAGCTTTTTGAATGAGGAGAGCACTTGTCATAGGCAGAAAATATTTGCTGCCTTTGGCAGTGGCTCCTTTGCTTGCTCTGTTGCTTTCCCTCATCTTCAGAGTCAGGTTTGTCAGGGGTAATTTAATTGCCCTTAAGCAGTTTGAAAAGATGATTCAGAACATTGATTCAAAACATTTAATTACTGCGTGAATGGATTCTCAACGATGAGCTCAGCTGATGCTGAATGCCAGTCCACCAGAGGGCTCGGCTATTGTCTCACATGCACCGCGCACGCATAAAAACACACACGCAGCCACCCACACGCATTCACCTTATTAAATACATGAAGTATAGGTACATCATACACGTAAAGCTAGTACTGAAAAAAGGCCATGTGGACATTGGTTGCACACAACTGTTTTTCTTTGGCAGAAACTTAAACAACTGAGTTAAACCAACACAACGTGTTCATATTCAGTAAGCCTGTGCATGTTGTGTTGATAAAACGCGACTGAAACATGTTCAGATGAAGTAAGTTGAGCTCTTGGAATATTTTAATTCTTCGCAATTTTGTCATTTTATTTGAACATTACTCAATAACCTTTACCCCAATACTACTTGGTCACTTAAATACTACATGTTGACTTCATATTACATAATGTTCAACAAAGTGTAGAGTCTGGTTAACATAAAAGCTGAATGGATCTACAACGACTACCATCCTCTTTATCCGGGTTGAGGGGTATAACCCTGAAGTGATAGGATAGGTTAAGAGGACTGGACAGCTCTATCACATAGAGACAAACAACCATTTGCACTCACATTCACGGTAATTAAGAATCACAAATTAACTTAGCTCTAATAACTGCACGACTTTTAACTGTGGGAAGAAATCAGAGCACCCAGAGAGAAACCACTGCAAACTAGGCAGATTGTGGATTTGAACCCAGAACCTTCTTGCTGTGAGGCAACGGCACTAACCACCAAGCCACCAATCCAGAATTAGCAAAAGCAGGAAAGCTGTGATTTCAAGGCTTGATGCAGAATTTTCCGTACGTTTTTGTCCTTGATAAGTTAAACCACAATAAATAGCGATAGCATGCACGGTGTGTGTGCAGTTGTCTGCCTCCTATAACTCCACTGATTTTACTGCAGCTTGAAATCTCGTGTGATCTTGTGAATTTCATGAGTCCAGCAACTAACCACTCTCACTAGATTGTATCAGGTCATCTCAACAAGAACAAATTAAACAGATCCTGCATGATTTAATTACATTCAAGAAAGAAACATGAACTTTTTGTGTTCAAATTACAAGGAAGCCTTTTTTAATGTAACAACCACCCAATTTACTGTTTTCCGAAAACTGAAAAAAGTAGAGGCGGCTGCTCGACTTGCCTGAGATGGATGCCTTCCTCACACCACGATCCAAAGCGTGCGAGACTGGAATCCTGTGCAGTGTCGCGAGATTTAACGTTGCTATATTATTGACTTACTTCAATCAAACATGATATGAACAATTTAATCTACCCTCTCTGCATATCATGTAGCTTCTACACTATATAGTTACACTTAACTTTAAAGCATGAGGCACTTGTGTTAAATACACGCAAGATGCTTACATAAATGCAAGAGATGGCCAATCCCTTTTTTTCAGTGTATTTATCCCTCAAATGAATGATTAATGGGCGCTTTTAAACCGATTTTGAAATAAAGCCTTGAGTCCTGCTGCACCTTTTGCTCTGAGAGGGAAAAAAGGTTCTTTTCTTGGCCAGTTCTGGTTGGTCAGTAATGGTAACCTTTACGTCCAAATTTGGCTAAAAAGTCAAGCCGACTTTTCATAATTAAAAAAAAAAATGTTAAAATTGAATATAGATCAGACCAGGTCATTGTGTGTTGCATGTTGAGCTTGTATGGCCCTCAAATCACTTGCAACACACGTCTTTGTGTGCTACATTTTTGCCAGCCCTTCCCAACCTCCACCCATCCATGGCCCATAATGGCCCCCACCTGTGCCTGGCTCTGCTGGAGGTGTCTTCCCGTTAAAAGGGCTTTATTTCTCCCCACCACCACTATTTAAAATGTTGGGTTGAATCGCTGCTATATAAGTAAACTGTTATACTTGGTAGTGGAGTGGTCCGCACTGATATGGAGAAAGGTCTGGATTCAAATCTGCTGTGTTTGAGGAATGCACACGTGTTCAGCGCTCTTCCTTTGAACCTGAGGTGACGTTCGTTGTTGTCAAAAGCGTCTTTTTAACTTATTTTTGCTGGGTGGGAACAGATTACAAACACCAACCACAAAGCTTGTAGAACCTTCATACCGGTGGCTTAACGAGCTGTTCATGTTACTGATAACGCAGCCTTCAAACTGGGCTGAAATGAACCTTCAGCATCATCAAACAGCTAATAATATTGTTCATTCATCGTTTTGTGCTCATCACAACCAGGCCCCGCCCTTCGAGTTAACAGGATTGTTTTGTTTGGGTCTGCACGATATGACTCTGCCTCAGTTTGTGTTTCTGATGCTGTTGGTACAACTGCAATTCCAAGATGAAAATGTGCAGCTGTGGTGAAGATGAAAAACCCTGTGTATATATATATATATGTATATATATAGATGTAAAGCCAAGGTTAACTGACATAACATAACAATAGTTAGATACTTAGAAATGTTTCTAAATGAAAATGGTCTTTACACAGAGCACTGCCGGCTATGATCAGTGTGAATCGCTCCATAAGCCTTTACAGAGGTAACTAATTTTCACATTGGTGTGAAAAACATACATACAAATCTTTTCTGAAGCAGCTCCCAGTCCTCTCTGGTCCATAGTTAACTTTGGATAATAAAACTTTAGTCTCAAGAAGACAGAAATGTGCAGAACAAATTATAACAAGTTATTTTACTTCAAATGGCTAAATGGTGCTGAGTCAACGCTCATCACTGTGGTGACCCGTGCAGGGTTTAGTCTGGGGCGTGGTTGTTTGTTAAGCCACCGACATAAAAAGACGAGTTTGTTAACTTGGAAAAAGGAAACATCTGATGTCTTGTTCCAGCTCCACACTGTGCTGATGTACTTCATCCCCAAGTTCACAAAACATTTAAACAGCTTTGATGTTTGTTGGCTTGAATTCCTATTTTTTGACTTTGGAGATGTGCATTTTATACACAACATCCTCCATGTGTGACATTCATGGTGATGGGTAGGGTTTAACATTCTTTATAGAATTTGTTCCGTAGTCTGAACAGGCTGCCAATGTCAAATTTTATATATGAGACAGACTTTGCACAACATCTGCTAGAAAAGCCACATTTCTACTGCAAAAATGTGTCTGTTTACATATGACTTCAAACCCAGCATTAACCAAACCGACCTTGGTCTCCACCTTGGACAGCTCACCGGTGATGTGGCGCATATTAATAAATGAATGATTTCTTTCTCCACTCGTCAGCCAGTTTGTAATTGCTCACACATTAACCTGAACTAACTTTGCTCTCTTTAGATGTAAAATTGCTGGAGAACCAGGCGTTTGTGGAGGGCGTCCAGGAGCAGGTGAACGCTGCTCTGCTGGAGTACACCCTGTCTGCCTACCCTCAGTTCCAAGAGAAGTTCAGCCAGCTGCTGGTACGGTTGCCGGAGCTGCGCTCCCTCAGCACGCAGGCCGAGGACTACCTATGCTACATGCACGTGAGTGGAGAGGTGCCCTGCAACAACCTGCTGATCGAGATGCTGCACGCTAAGAGGGCGTGTGTGTGAGGAGCGTGAGCAGGACGCTCCGCCACCATATATTATTTGTCTAGGTGAGAGTGTGTGTGGACGGAAAAGAGCGAGTGACGAAAATGTTGAATGACACTAGACAGGTTCCCCCGGGTCACCTTTGTGGCACTTTTTATGTTTTGAGTTGGATGGAAAAAAAGTTCCTTAAAGTTTGGTAATATAAAGCTGCGTGTGTGCTCACCGGTAGTTTGGAGATTTTGAATATTAATGTTTTCATGTCCTGCAGAGCTACATTAACGTGACCTTATACCTATAAACTGGATTTTCTAACTTGTTTTCAAGCATCTAAAGTTCGACCTGCGTATAGAGTTACATTCTATCTATTTTGAGCAAATATACCATGAATTCCACAGAGCTGCCCATCAAACAGTTACTCTTTAGATACACGTCATTCATTGCCACCTTTTTCAATCTGTAACATTCACACCCAAAATATCTTTGTCATATCGCTACCAAATTTTGACAAGGCCTTCTGCATGAAATTTGCAGTCACATCACTGGATGGAGGTATTTGCTGGATGAGCAAATGTTTACTTTTTACAGCAAATATTTGTTTTCTCTTTCCAAAGTAATATTTTAATATCTGAATGAGACGTTTTTGATTCCAGTATCTGATGCTACATCCTAGATGCTTATCCTAGATTATCTTTATTATTTTGATGATGTCATGTCGTCAGACTAGAGTAGCACTGCTAGAGAAGCCCAACAGACATAAATAAAGTTTAGTTTAAATCTATCTAGATGTTAATATATTGATAAATGCCAAGGCAGTCTTGAGAAAAACACATTAAGTGTTTTATCAAACAACAAGAAGAGAAAGTGAGAGAGAGGCAGAGAAGAGAGAGACAAACAAAGCAGGAGATAAAAGAGAGAAACTGTACACAGCGAAGCTTTGGAGCCGACAGGAGCTACAATAGACGCATCAATGTGCACTTGGTAATGACAATGACAGCAAACACGTGAGAAGCACGTCTGTGATGTTTGTCCTTCGGCTCAGTCCGTAAAGATGCAGGGAAGTAAAAGGTGCATCTGGTCACATTTGGCTCATCCATGCGAGTCACGTGCTCATTCACACTGGTGTCACTTTTCAACACATCGGGCTACACGCCATCCAGGAGCGATGCGTCTCACGTGGATTTTGATCAGATGATCCAAACTTGTTGCTTTCAGTAAGTTCCTTTGTTTTCAGAAAATTACAAAAGGAGGTGAAAACCCACATCTCAGTAGCCCTCGACTGCTTTGTGCTTCTGAACTGAGGTTTAAAGAGTTTCAGTTTTCCTTGAAAAAACATGATTTGAGCAAACACACAAAACAAATTTGTGAGGACTATTTTCAGCCACCATTGTCCATGTGGTGGACGGTAGCAGGACAGGGGACTGTTATGTGACATGTTAAAAGGAATGTTTGTGTCCTGTGTCACGCTTAAAGGGGACCTGTTCTGTTCACTTAGAGAGTAGCTTTAATTACAGTTACAAGTTAATATACATTACCCTACTGGATACACTCAAGCTCGTTTAGCCCCGCCCCCTTTAAATGGTGGGTGGAGCTTCTGTGGTCACAGCCAGGTGACCATGTTTGGGATGCACACGTTCAAACGTATTAATAACTGAATTATTGGCAGCTTCTAAAAACAAAACACTGAAAAGTATAATATTGTATTATTGTTGTACCTTGATTTGGTGCTACATAAATAAAACTGAAGTGAAACATAAGAGAAGGATATTAATGAATCTGGTTAAGCTCAGCTTCACTTAACATGCTTGAATAAATAATTACAGACGTATACGTGTGTGTGATGTCTCCTGGAACAGCGTCCAGTCAGAGGGAAAACATTCAGGCTCACAGGGATTTCTCTTTATTTGACTTCATTATTTGAATGTTTAATATGAACATCCACCTCTGTAACAGGACACAAGACAAAATATAAAATTGGAAACTCCACTATACATTCCCTTTAAGTGACGGCAATATTTAGAGATATCTGATGACTTTGCTGATGCATTTGCTTGTTTGTTTGTTTTTAAAATTATGTATATAAACAAAAATCAGGTGTTATTCTCATTTGTTGAAATTTGACCTCCAATTTTCAGGATAAATAGCTCATTTGTTTATTCAGCCTTAAGAATGTTAGAAGTTATTTATCTTCATTTTCCGCCCACTGCTCCATTCTGATGACATCATCACGGATGTTGGTGACAGTGCTCAACGAGAGCGGCGAGACAAAGCTAGCTTACAACAAGCTGTACAGCTGACCTGTGGTTGTTGACGTGTTGCTTAGTGGGCATTTCTCTTCAGATTTAGCGAGCACTACGTGAAAGAGCAACGTGTGCAACAACTCGCGGAGCCAAACTTTGTACCACAAAGAATAATGACAGCGTGCTTTAAACCGAGGCAGTCGAGCATCCACTGCATCGCAGCCCTGAAGTCTGTGTTTGCAGCATCATCTGTGGCACTTCCTTTGTTCTGTCCCACGCTGGGTTAGGGTCTCACACAGTCAGAGTGACAGTGAGAGTTAAAAACAGTCAAATGTTTTAATGTTGTGCAGCTGTTTAAGATCATTTGTTATTGGTCCACTGATGTGGGCGTCGACAATCACTCCTCCAGCCTTACCTTTACGTCTGTCACACCACCTGCACACACGCACACACACACACACACACTTAGTGTTCCAATTGAGATAGTTATGTGTAATCACTCTGTATAGTATATTTATGTTGTGAAGTGAATATCTGCTGCAAGATAAAGATACATTTCAGCACAAAAACGTTCTCTGCTTTATGTTGAGGTCAAATTGCTACTACTGTGGAGCTGATTCTCTTGTTTTCAGTTTCTTTGTTCTGGTCTTGGTTCACTCTTCTTTCCTGTGAGTTGAGCGTCTGTCCTGTCTTAAACTGAAGTGCTTTTCTCCTCAAAGAGAGAGTGACCAAAATCTGTTTTTGTTTTTTAAATATATTTTATTGTAACAGCATCAAACCAATAAAAAAAATCAATGAAGTAAAGCTCGATTGGTGTGTTGGCTGTTTTTACACAACATTCATCAGCTTTGCACTAAAGGCACAGAGCGTTGTCTCACTGTGGAAATATTCCCGTCAGTCATGTTATGTTGTAAAACACGAGTGACATCCTGACAGGAATGTCAGTGGTTTGAAATATACAACAGTTATACTGACAGTTCTTCCAAAGGGTAGCATGTCTTTTAAAGATGTTTTTATTTATGCATTTAAAAAATATTTTTAACCTCCCAACATCTACCAGCTGATCAGTGACCTGTCTAGGGTTTGTTTGTTAGCCACATGCTAAACAGGCAGACTAGACAAACAACATGTTTCTGTCTAAAGCTTCTGTTGGCGTTTCAAATAAAATTCTATTTAAAGGTGTAGATGTTAATTTAATCACAGACAGGTCGCCAATGATCTGGTGGATATTAAGCGATTAAGGATGCCAGAACAGAAACTGTCTTCCTCTACTGTCCAACTACATAATCTCTAAATATGCACGATTTATAAAAACATGTCAAATTCTTACTTTGATATCTGAACAGTATTTTGATCATTTCCCCTCCACATACTGAGACCGTTGTTGCTGTAGAACAAATTACACGAGCACACAGTTACTGTGGCAAATAACACGAGCCAGACACAAACATACTCATTGCTCCACTTGTTTGTTGAGATCTGGTCAGTACAAATCTGTGTTTTACACTCCACATGTTGAACTGTACGTCTACAGTCTTACTTTATGAACATTAAACCCACATTAATAATCTGAGTGGTCCGCTGAATCTGTTCCTTTTTCTCATCTTTAATGCTAAGCCTGATTCGGAGCTATTTCCACTGAACTTGTGGGCAGGAGGAAGCAGAATGAAGCCTGGCATTTACTGTGCATGAGATTTAAATGAATGAGAGCGCGCAACATGTCTACATGTGTCTAAATGGGAAATATGATTAGATAACCATCCCATATACAAAGACACTTGCACATGGTTGTATTAGAAATTCATTATGGCAGCAGCTTCCAGTTGTTCCTGTTGTTTCCTGAATATGATGCAGAATTCCCTGGAATAGTTTTCAGGGAGGTACTTTAGATCTGCAATCACAGAAACCTGGAAAAAGCTCTAACTGACTGACAACAGGAGCACCGCCAAACACCTCCGAGCTGATGTTATTTGGGTGAAGGTTACTGTGACAAAATATTTCTACAGACATTTAAACAAGTGGCCACAAACTCAAAGGTCTCCCGAGACAAAAACGAAACATCACTAATTTGTGTCGGATTATATGCACCTGTATATAAAAGATGGACACGCTTCCTCGTGTTTTCTGTATTTTGCAGCCTGAATGTTTCGGGTGGGATCGTGCTGGTGTTCTGTGCAGGCCCCATCCACAGATATGCGCTAATTAGTGCTTAGCTGAAGACAGACTAATAAATGCGACCAAAATGGAGCACACTGCCCCACGCAGTATTTGTCAGATAACGCTGATGGGGGAGGAGTTAGCACACACCTGTTGGTTACAGGTGCCTGTCAGGAAAAGCAGCATCAGGCTGTAAACATGCTTTTTAATGCTGTCGAGTTTACGGGGACTGATTTGGATTTGGAGCCTGCCTCGAGTGTCACGTGGAGAGACTGCAGTCTTAGGCACTTTGGTGTTGGCTCTATTCTGCTTGGATTTTTTAAAATTAAAATGTTCAATTACCTGGATAAAAATCCCTGGCATCGCACTTGTGCCCTTTTCTCTAATTAGCAAAAGATGGAATGATCGAATCTATCGCTGCGCTGCGGGTCACCTATGGGACATTGGATTTGCTCACAGTTAAGTGTGAGGTCGTAAAACCTGCTTCTGATTTTGCACTTTGAACTGAAAAACATGGGCACATTGTTCTGGAGCAACAACAGTGAACAGAGCACATTTTTGTGTGTGGACTGCGTGTCCTGGGATTTAAAAGCCTCTTCAGTCCAACATTTGCCAGACATCAAATGAGTAAACTATCAGACGGATTCTGATGAGATCTGAGAAGAGGACAGTGACGGCATCGGGGCTTCATCTTCATCCATTTTTCAGCATCATGATGATGATGAAGATGCGTGTGTAGATACTGAGTATAGGTTCCACTCCATTTGTAGTTCAACAACCTGCGTTGAAATAGCAAAGTGAAAGGCATTAGCTATGACTCCCGGCTCCGTCTGACATTTAATGTTGTCTGCGTTACGGGAGTGAGAGCATGTTTGTGTACAAAAGAGAAGAGAGGGACCGAGAGGAATGAAAGGCTGAGCGAGAGAGAGCAGGTGCTGGAGTGGTTAATGGCTGACAGCATGAATGGCCAGCGCTGAATTTTTCTGATTAAGGGAATGAACTTCTGCTTTGTCTCTGCTGTCAACAATGAACGCCCGCAGCACTCCAAACCGTCCTCCTAGGCGCCTAAACATTTAATGAATCTATTCCAAACTTCCTTCTCTCTACCGGCGGCCAATTTGGAGCCATTGAAGACAACCTAGCCCTCTGGAAATATGGGGACCATCTGTTGTGTGTGTCTGCACATTCATCTTTATGAAAGACAGCTATGCGGCCTAATGCTACACGCTAAGCAGGAAATAGAGACAATGGGAGAAAAGGTAACCTGCCCCTCCTTAATTTTTGCACCCCAGCTCTCTCTATTAAATGTGGATTTTCTTCACACCATTGGAAGGAATCTCATCATCCTAAGTGAAAAATTACAGCTACTATGTTTTCTTCTGCTCTTTGTGCAACAAGCATTGAAATTACTCTAAAAACAGCATTCCACATTCTAACAGCATTATAGAGCTCTTATACTATTAAAAGATAATATCAACAAAAGCCCACTGAAGTATATGAGTCACTTCATTCAGCCAACTCAAATGTCAAATGAGGAATTTGAATGAGCATAATTGCAGATGCTTATTTCTATTTTGTTCTCAAGGCTTTTTTGAATACGCCATGTAGTGTAGTTTGAAGGCAGATAAAGAAGAAACAGGTAGGACTCGAAGCACTCCTAACACTGGAATCTGTGAAGGCACAGAGGCCACAGATGGATATTAAAACGGTAGAGGCAGCCAACAGCACGCAGTCATTTTCAGAAACCTATAGGTGATGGCATTGACCAAACTCATCTCACAAAGAGTGAATAAACGCAGCTCTGCCATCAGAGGTTCTCTGATCAGAATGATCACAGAAGTATGGAGCACCCACCATCAGGCCAGGGTTAAGGTTTCATGTGCACATAGAAACAAAGGTTTAATTACACACTCTTTCTACACGTCCGGTCAGTGTAATGGTCGGCAGACTTGTACCGACCGCTCAAGCTGCTTTAACTTTACACAACAATTACAGTTCGGGCTTCAGTATCTTGCCCAAGGACACTTAAAACTGCACATAGGAGGAACAAGGGGCAGGTTGTCCCCACATCAGGTAGTGCAGGGACAACCTGAACCAACTGATGAGCCACAGCTGTCCATAATTCTAAGCCACAAGGACAGTTGTTGGCTACTATACAACAACTGGATATTAAGTGGTCAACAATGCGATTTACTTCTCTGGTACTGAGAATGATGAGCTGACAGGATTTCACAGATTTCATTTATTTTATGACCCCCTGAAATCCTGTGATTGTCTGATTTTTGCACGCTGTGATACATCCAGTTTGCCCGTTTGAAATAGAGAGCACCAAGTAAGGCTTGTGAGTGAGTTCAGGCATACATCATTTACACTCACATGCACCCACTCCTCGTGTCATACACCAAATATATCCTCCCTGTGAGGCAGACTACCTGGGCCTGGTGCTTCAATGCTCCTACACTCGTGTGTGTTTGAACCCAGATGCCAAGCCGACTGTATTCCTCTTCTGTAATATAGTAATCAAATTTGAGTCCGACTGAACTAATGATTCTATGTTTGGACACACAGTTTAAATGATCCCAGCAACAGACTTCAAATCAATTCAACGCAAAAATATTCATATTTTCAACAACTGCTGTTTGTTGTTTTTTTCAGAGAGGGTGTCTCTGTGTGAAGAAGAGCTCCTGCTGCTGTTTACTGTGCAGTTCAGTCACTGCTGCTCACATCAGACCAAAACAACTCGTGGCCTTTAATTCAGTGGTTCCACTTCACTGCTCACCGGCTGCCCTGCATTGCTGTGTTTGCTGTCAGTTTGTAATTATTTATTGCTGCTTCTCCTTAATTCTGACTTTCAGCTCGGTGCCACTATTTCAGCTCATCATGTTGGATACTTTTTTCTTCTCCTCACAAGTTCTCTTTACATCATTTTCTCTGTTCTGCTGTTGAACTTGTGGTGTGAACGTAAAGCAACAAATTCCCAACCAACTCAAACACAGTATCGGGGGATTTTAGCTCTGTACCTGATGGCTTGAACCCCGTCAGCTGTACCACCTGTTAACGACAAAAATCACGATACATTCTTAGTCAGCAGATGTAATAGAAAACATTATGTATTGATAAC